CGTCGACAGAACACCGCCAACGACGAGCGGCTCGAGGAAATTGTTTTTATTAACGTCGCCGCCTGACGACTTTCGTGGCAATGACGAAAAGCACATATCGGGAGTAAGCTTACTGGCCACTAACGTAACCGGAGGGGCGTCGAACATCAACGACTGTCTAAAACGTGACGTTTATATGAAATCCAGGAAAAGCGTAACAAACCACCTTACTCATATACTTGCGTTGCGTAGTTGTTTGGACCTGGCTTCTGCGGCAACATGTGATTTTCACAACCGTCCCTGACCATCCTCACCATGTTCTGACCATATTTAATTCCGACGCCTAAATAAATCAAAACACAGCTTCTACGAAAAGACAGACAACAGAAAAACAAGAAATGCCGTCATCTCGTTCACAGCCTTTTACTTTTCATCAGATCATCAGCAGATGTCACCGACACTTCCGCGGGACGAAAGTCGCCACAGTTTTGAAGCGATGGCCTCGCGGTAGGCTGTTCCAGAACATGGCTCTCGGCGTGAACATCAACAGAGATTTTATCGCTACTACAACTCGGTGGAGTAGTGTTCGTTCCTTCGTCGGCAGTCTTTTTGAAAAAATTATGCTGCAGCGCGTAATACGGAGTGATCCTAGTTTTAGGATCATAATCGAGCATACGACTGATCAAGTCCTGTGAAAAAGCAGACAGCATATAAACAACATCATGTTCTCTTTACCACAGATTGCCTTACTTTAAACTTCAAGTAGTCCGCAAGAGTATGTCCTGCTTCGTTTAGACGGCGCGAGCCAGGGCCTCCTGTTTCCACCCCCAGTATGCTATGCAGTGTTCGGGAACCAGGGGGTTTGTAATGTCTGCCGTCTCTGGAGGGTTTGCAGAAGTAGGTTCCGTCCGGCCGTTGGTCAAAGTATTTATCACAACGGGGGGCCTGCTCTAAAATATGTTTTGGAGGGATTCCGAGGACTTCGACAATTTTCATGAGCTGGTCAAACTGTAAAACAATCACTCGGTCAGAAGAAGAACAAAAGTATATCGCGATCAAATCTGGTCTTACCTCGTTAGCCCCAGAAAACAACGGCTCTCCCGTGTGCATTTCAACCAAAATGCATCCTAAAGACCACATGTCGATCGACATATCGTATGGAATGCCCAAAAGCACTTCAGGCGAACGATAGAAACGACTTTGAATATACTGATATATCTAAACAAAAACAATTCAGCATGAGATAAATTTATGAACTTTAACACATCTACAGAGTAGTCAACAAGAAGAACAAGTAGAAGAACAAGTTTTCACAGGGGTTAGTAACGCATGCAAATATTAAAACAACTGCTTTTGAAATTAAAGTTACAATGAAACGAACATTAGCGATCCATCGCAATCAGACTATGAGAGGGTAAGCTTTTGTCACCTAGAAGAACGGATTGAAAATAAACTGAAGTTACTTTACCCTTTGTCCCAACTGACATGACGAACCAAAGTCGATAATTTTAATAGCCGACCGCTTCGGGTTACAAAGTAGGATGTTTTCAGGCTTCAGATCGCAGTGAATGATGTTCAGTTCCGGCGTAGACAGAAATAACAGGGCCATGCATAGCTAAAAAAATAAAAAATAAGTCTAAACCTAAAACAAGTGGTTCAAGGTGGGGGAGGGAATAAAATAAATATAAAGAACATTCGAAAAGCGTTTATCTTTATCGAAACACAATACAGGCATGGTTAAATTAAATATACTGTCAGTTGGGCTGTTAGCGATTAGGCTGATAGAACAGACGTTCTGGCCGGTATGACGCTGGTCGTCACGAAAAAATCAGTGATATAGTGTCATTTATACACGTTCTAACAAAATTTCTAACAAACAGGCTTTATTGTGCCATTCTGAGAACAAACATGTGTTAGATTCGATTTAGAAATT